GTGCTGCCGCTGGGCAAATAAATTCTTCTTCTTCGTCTTCTTCTTCTTCTTCTTCTTCTTCTTCTTCTTCTTCTTCTGCTGCTGCTGCTGCTGCTGCTGCTGCTGCTGCTGCTGGTTTTTCAAGAAGGAGAACACTAAACGAGACAGGATGAAATAACAATATAAGGGGAAAAAAAGAAAGAAAGTGCTGCTATGTATTGAGGAGCTTTTGAAGCATGTATGAAAGGCAGTTGACCCCTGTTTTCACTTCTCACTATTCTTCTTCTTCTTCTTCTTCTGTTTCTTCTTCTGCTGCTTTTGTTTTGCTTTTCTCTCTTTTTCCAAGTTGCTTTTTTCTTTTTCTGCTCGCCTTTTGGAAGAGTATTTACTATTTATTTTTTTCCTGCGAAAACTTTTCCTTCTTATGTTTTGAGATTCGAATAGCAAAAAAAAATAGAAAAAAAAAATCGAATAGAAAGGGTTTTGTTAAATGCAAATTGCCTCTTCATCCTTTAGTGACGACCATCAGTAACGTTTTTTTTTTTTTTTTTTTAATTCTATTTCAAAGGGGGTTGGTTTAAATGGTGGCTAGCCCCAACCTTACTCCATGCTTAAGGATTCAAGTTTTGAATTCATGACCTGTGTATTTTATGTTTTATTTTTAGTTACATACATCTGACAGTCTGTACCATTCACCCACCAGGCCCGTGCACTGGATATCCTCCCTTAAAGACCTCCATTTCTCGATTTGTGTGTCATCCTTGCGCAGACGCCATCCTAATCTTCGTTCTCTGTATCGTTCCATTTCTCTGTATCTTCCTTTTTTTGCAGTTTTCAAAACAGCAGTTTGCGATGAACTGGGTTCAAAATCCGCACAGACGAGGGTCCTGACTTTTAGTCCAAGTCAAGATTCAGGTATAGGGTCTGAGAAAAGTCGCATCTCTGGACCTAGAAGAGTCTGAGAAAGTTCTATGGTCAACAGGGATAGGGTCCAGGATAAAAAAAAGATGCAACCTTTGGCCCTAAATGAGACAGTTGCCTCTTGGAAAATCAAGAGTCAGGCTCAAACCCAGAAAAGTAAACTAGGAGTCGGA